GTATTCTTCTGGGAGTTTTCCTGTTTCAGATTTTAAGTCTTTAATTCATTTCAAGTTAGTTTTGGTATATGGTACAAGACAAAAATTCAATTTTATTGTTTTGTATTTGGTTTGCAAATAGTTTCTCCTAGTGTGTGGCTTGTCTTTTCACTTTCTTGATGGTGCCTTTTGAAGTGCAAAAATCTGTAATTTTGTTGAAGTCCTATAGAACATGCTTTGGGTGTATTTAAGAACTGTTTACCTAACCCAAGGCCATGAAGATTTTCTCTTGTTTTTTTTCCAGAAGTTTTATAATATACAATATAATATATATCATATAAATATAATATAAAAATACAAACTTTTACATTTAAGTCTAAGATGCATTTTCAGTTAAATTTTGAATACAATGTAAGTTAAAGGGCTAAAGGTCTAAGTTCTTTTTTTTTTTTGCATATGGATATCCAATATCTCGGCACCTTTTGTTGAAAACAATGACCTTTCTGTGTATCAGATTGTCTTGATACCTTTGTCAAAAATTAGTGTCCATATATGGGTTTATTCCTGGACTTTTAATTCCATTTCACTGACCTATAGCTTTATCTTTATCACTGTGGGTTAATAGCAAGTTTTGAAATGGAATAGTGTAAGTATTCCAATTGTTTTTCTTCTTTTAGAAAATTGCTTTGGCTATTCTCAGTCCTTTGCATTTGTATATAAATTTTAGGGTCAGACTGCCAATTTCTCCAAAGAATCCCGCTAAGAACTTGATAGGAATTGCATTAAATGTATAGATCAATTTTGGGAGAATTATCATCTGTATGTTTTCTGTTTTCTGTTTTTTTGTTTTTGTTTTTTTAAAGGATACATGATTTATTAAAGACAACTCATCATCAACAGCATTGATTCAAGGAACAAAACAAATGAAAAACAAAAGCAGAGTAACATTCTGACCTTCTGAAGTGAGACCTGCTGAATTCATACAGCTCCGTCTGTGAGTGTCCGAAGTCCTGGGGGCAGTTTGTCAAGCAGGAAACCTCAGATGCTCTGGNATGGGTTTATTCCTGGACTTTTAATTCCATTTCACTGACCTATAGCTTTATCTTTATCACTGTGGGTTAATAGCAAGTTTTGAAATGGAAT